AAAAAAAAAAAAAAAAGAAATCAGAGAAACAAAAGCTACTACTTAAAAACTAATAATCTACCTAATAGATCCTAAAACGAAACTTGGATTAATTCGAGTGATATTAAAAACTTCTACGTGAATTAATTAAACGCTTTCTTTTCAATTCCTAAGCGAGCTCGTATCGTCATCTTACACGTGTACGTAATCTTAAGCCTATGAACACATGAAATCACTGCCCAATCGACCAATTTGGACCCATTTTAACAAGGCACTCGAGTCGCTGATATTATACCAAACACGTATCGAGGGTGAAACAACACAAGTGGTATGGGAGGATGGGGAGAAGGATCGTTTACGATGCGACGCGGAAGACGAGGATTGGTAGTACGTGGAAGAAGATTAGCAACGTTTATTCTAAAGATGCGCGCACACTTGTTACTGTAATCTTCTTACTGTTACACACGGTATATAACTTATGTATGCATTCAGTGGTAACGAGCTTCGATGCAGGATGCCCACATCTAAATCTAAATCTATTCGGTGATCCATCCGCTTTCGTGACTCTCCACTTCGTTCAAATTCGTTTCGAGAAACAAACGCGGCGAATATTTTCTTTGGAACGGATCGCCTCTTCGAGAGATTCATCCATCAAACGAGTTACTCTTAGGCGCGGTAACAGAAATCCATACACTCAGCATGACACATTGAGTAACGGTAACGAGACAAGTGTGTTAACAAACGTGTACGCATTCTGAGAATGCGTAAACATTTATTACTGTTACGTGGATTACTTATGCGTTTGCCGATCGGATGTGTTTCCCATAGTTGAACATAGTGACAATGAAGAATCGGTCTATTGTCCAAAGATGTTCAAAAGGTAAACAACGCGTTAAACACTTCCTTTAGAGGGAAATTTATTGTTAGAACGAAGTAACGAGCCACGATACACAGGACACCATCTATATTTCTTACGATGAAACATATTTAGTAACAATAGCGAGGCAAGATACGCTAACAAATGTGTACGCACCCTATATATATATACAACGTCGGCGAACGGTTTGAACAATTTTTTCCGAGAAAGAAAATTATTGTCGCTTCTTGCCGATAATGAAAAAAAAAACGTAATTATTTTTTTGTTCCTACATCGTCGACCTTCTGATCGGATCCTTCCGTACGCTATTAATGCTACAACCACCGCTGCCGGCGTTACGCGATCTTCGATGATTCGTGATCGATGATGAATACTATGGCGTCGTTAATGAATCTGATTACGTCACATTACTTTTTTTCAGCAGCTGTTAAACCATTCTGATGAAACTCTCGCACACGAATTTCAACGATCGTTATAGCGTTAATATACGAGATCGTGCGCAGCTCGTCTGATTCGAGCGAATTTGTTCGAGGCGATTAACGGGCAGGATGTACCTAAATATATCTACCTAAGACAGAAATCGGTGGAAAATCAGTTGGTCCCTTCTTGCAAAGTGTAAAATAAATAAAATTGTTATGCGTCCGCATATACTTCTACTATTAAAAAAAAAAAAAAAAAAAAAA